ACCCCATCCATCTGTCCCTGTCACAGACTGTCGCTGTGACCTAATCTTTCATTCAAAACCTGGAATGTTATCTAACTAGCAGCCTGTATTTAATGCTATATGTGTTGTAGCTCAGCTTTGTGCTCGTTTCCATAGAAATGGTCTGTTTGAGGAGTTTCAGCCAGGATTCAGGCAGGGCAGCACAGACACAGCTCAGCAGGCCAGAGTTTGCTTTCCTCCTTTTGGGAGGTGTGCCGCAGAGCCTCTACCCCCCCCTGCTGACCAGGGCCTGCTCTCTCCATTTCAAACCTACTGGTGGAGACAGTCTGTGTGGCAGTATTTAGACGGTTTGTGTTAAACTGCCTTTGCTTGATGATGAAGTATGTTTGGACAAGAGGTTAAACACTAAAGTAAGCTGCTTCAGTCCTGTTCTCCTGATAAATCAGGAAGCTTTTAGTAAAGCTGAATTTTGTTAAGACCGTCTTTGTTTCAGGGATGTCTGAATTATGGGCCACATCAGTCCTCCAAGTTGCTTCTCCAGCTGATAATTTGCACCATTTTTGCCACTGCCAACATCCAAATGTACACTTGAGCAGTGAAGAATTCATGAGTGGGATTGTTCCAGCCAATGCCCTTCTTTCTATCCTTGGATGAAATGCTTAAAGGAACACACATCCTGTGGTTTTATTCCACTCCGTGTTGAGCCAAAGTCCCACTCGACCTGAAATCCACTATGCACACAGAGGAGGAATATCTCAGGTTTTATGGAGTGGTAATGTGGTAGGAGTATTCTATAAATAATCTCTGTGCACAGAAACACAATTCCAATGGTCCATCAGTGTTCTCTCCCCTCATTCCCTTGAATGTATCAACGGTTCTGCTTTAATGCAGGGTATTTCAGGCCCTGTGCTGAGGAGAGTGGAGCTGAAACCTCGCCTGTATCGAATGCTGCCGTTGAGAGCTGGGTCATAATGTGAAAGTCAGACCTCAGAGTCTGTTTACAATTAGGCCCTTTGAAGCTTTCCACTGTAATCTCTGGCCCCTTTTGATATAAAGATACAGTATTGATATAAATGAGAGGAATTTGGCTCTTGTTTATGTAACCATAGCCCTGGCTTGTGATTGATGGAAGGAAACTGTATGGTAGATTGAAATAAAGACTTGTTTAAAACCTCGCTTTGAGGTTCCAGTTTCCCCTTTGAGTTCAGCAGTATTTTATATCGGCTCGCTCAGAGGCCAAGCGCACCAGCAGACCAGCTAACCAGCAAACCAGCTAACCAGCAAACCAGCTAACCAGCTAACCAGCAGACCAGCTAACCAGCTAACCAGCAGACCAGCTAACCAGCAAACCAGCTAACCAGCTAACCAGCAAACCAGCTAACCAGCAGACCAGCTAACCAGCAAACCAGACCAGCACACCAGGAAACGTTTGTGGCTAACGCGCTCTGCTGCCCGTCCGGGGCCCAGCGGGGCCAGCCTGACCGGGGCCATTCTGCCGGGTGTGCTGGTCGGAGGCCCTGTCCATCCCAGGGGGCTGCTGCTGGGGGGGCTGCTGTTTGGGGGGCTAATGGGACACTACCTGTGCTTCTGAGTTTAATGAGACGCTTAGAACAATTGGCCCTGGGCTAAGATTCCGCAGACTGGGGGGCAGGGGGGGCTCTCAGGCACCTGGCCAGGTGGTCCCACTCACCACATGCTCTTGTGCTTGTGTTTCAGTTGTCGGTGAGTGTATCCGGGCCGTCAGATGAAGAGCCTTCAGTTCCGGAGCATCGCCCCCAAGGCCCCAGCTGTGGTCCCCCCCCCCTCCCCCGCAGCCCTCGCCTGCAAACCCCCCTCCACTCTTCCTGAGGCCTCCAGCTCCAAATCCATCCTCTTACCCACCCAGAACTATGCACTGATGCAGATAGCGGGGCAGGATGGCACCTACTCCCTGGTGGCCCTCCCCCCCCCTGTCTCCTCTCAACCGCCCCAGCAACCCCCTCAGTCAGTCCAGAACAACCTCAAGTTACCCATTCCCAGATACCCGTCAGCCAGGAGCAAGTGGGCCCACGATAAGGTCAGAGCTCCTGCTCTGAGCGGAGGGTCAGTGCTGCCCCTGACCAGGCCCGGGGGCAGCGGGGCTCCGGGGGCCCCCAACAAGCTGCAGGAGCCCAAGCAGCCCGGGGAGACGCGGTTGCCCAAAGAGGAGCCCTCGGAGCAGGTGATAGTGGTGGAGCCGGCCTCGTCGGAGCTGTCTGTGGCCGCGCTGCTGCCCGACAGTGGGGTCCACTACCAGAGGCCTCAGCCAGAGCCAGCTCCACACGCCGCCGAGCCCCCGGCTCCACCAGGCCTCCTGCACAGCCTCCAGCACCCCCCCCGCTGCTGCCGGCAGCTGCTCGGCCACAGGCCCGGAGGCCAGTAGGAGCTCAGTCCGGCTGTGCCAGACCACCGCGGCTGCAGGTCAGCCCCAGAGCAGCATCACCGTCCTGTCCCCGGCCGTCCTCAGTAAAGCCATCCAGCTCCTCCCTCCCAAGGGGAAGCTGCCCATTCTGCCCTACTCCAAAATGAAGAGCAGCCTGGTCCCAGCAGCCAAACTGAGCCCTCTATCCCCAGAGAGGGCAGCTTTCTCTGGGAGGGCTGGGCTCTCCGGTCCCTCAGATCCCAGCAGGGACTTTGAGACCGCTGAGGCCTTGTGTCATGAGCCGGTGCCAAACTCCATCCAGCAGCTCCAGGCCAAGACCCCTCTGCCTGTCCTGCTCCAGAAAGCTCCTGGAAAGAAAAGGGGACGCAAAAGAAAGACGGTGGAGGACATCTTGGCGTTTGAGGCCCGAAAAAAGAGGTCCCTGTCTTTCTTTCGCAGAAGGGCCCCTGACAAACCGCCAGCGGCTAGTCCGAGCTGCAAACAGAAGGAAGTGGACATTTCTAAGAAGTACCGCAGCATTCGACCCAAGCCCCTGCTGCTGATGGAAAGCGTTCCCCAGCTGCTCAGCCTGCCCGCCATAGCTTCAGAGAGCCGGGATCAGGAGCTCCTACTGGGCCATCAGCTCCCCTCAACCGCAGCGAGCAGGAACCTGGACTGCCCCCCCCAAACGGCCCCCGTCACGCTCCACCAGAGAGGGGGCTCTCAGCCCAAAGTCCTGCTCGGAGGCCGGCCCCTCTACCGCTGCTCCACCTGCAGCCGCTCCTTCCAGTTCAAGCAGCACCTGCAGAGCCACATGGGCCCCCCCGCCGGCAGCCGGCCCCACCTCTGCCCACTGTGCCGCAAAGCCTACGCCCCCCGCGCCAGCCTCAGCACGCACAGGAAGCTGCAGCACGCCGAGGGCCCCCGCCACGCCCTCTGCTGCCACTTCTGCCACAAGTCCTTCGGGTACGTGGGGGTGTACTTCCGCCACCTCAGAGAGGTGCACAAGGTGGTGCTGACGGTGGAGCCCTCCGTCAGCCAGCACGAGGAGGACGCCGACGCAGGAAGGTGAGGTCAGAAGGAGCCCCCCCACCCTGAGCCATGGTTCTGTCCAGGTTTCTGTTTAAAGGAAGTTTTTCCTTGCCTGTGTGGCCTAGTGCTGCTCCTGGTGGAACTGTTGTTCCTCTGTGAATAACTCAGTCTGAGCTGCTCTGGTTAGGGTTAGGGTTAGGGTTAGGGTTAGGGTTAGAGGGCTGCTGTTGTGAGTTGGTGCTATAGAGATAAAATGGAATAGAATTGAATGTCAGCCAGCAGCTTGGGTGGTAGGACTGACAGTGATGATGTGCGTCCTGTCCTCAGCAGGGCGGCGTCCCCAGAGCAGGAGGAGCAGGAGGAGCAGGAGGAGGAGGAGCAGGAGCAGGAGGAGGAGCAGGAGCAGGAGGAGCAGCAGGAGGAGCAGGAGGAGGAGCAGGAGGAGCAGGAGGAGCAGCAGGAGGAGCAGGAGGAGCTGCAGATCAAATGTGGGCGCTGCCAGGCCGTCACGCCCACCTTCGCTGACATGAAGATGCACCTGCTGTACGTCCACGGGGAGGAGGTCCCCCCGGGGCCGGGCGGGGGTCAGCCGGGCGGGGGTCAGCCGGCGCGGGGCAGCCGGGCGGCGGAGCGGGAGCTGGTCCGGCAGGCGGCGCGCTGCTGGAGGCAGCGGCAGCAGGGCCGCCCCCCCCCCCCGCCGCGCCCAGGACCACTTCTCCTCACTCTGCAAGCTCAAGAAGCACATGGCGTCCCAGCACCGCCTCCGGCCCCGGGCCCCCGCCCCAGAGAGCAGCGCGGGCCTGGGGCTGCTGGCCGGGGGGGCCGGGGGGGCGGCGGGGGCCGGGGGGGCCGGGGGGGCGGCCTTCAGCTGCGTGCTCTGCAGCAGGGGGCTGGCCACCAGGGCCTCGCTCATGGAGCACTGGAGGGGCCACCACCGCTGTGAGCGGCCCGGCCTGCTGTGGGACGCCCTGAGCTCCTACCCCCCCCAGGACCAGCACCACCCTGCTCCACACCGGCAGGAGCTGGACTAGCCCCCCCCGGTTACATCTGTCAGCAAGCCGGTGTGGAGAATGACTATGGTAGAGACTGGGTTAGAAACTGAGTCTAACTGTTGCGTTGGTTGCACTGCTCCAGAGTTAGGTATTTAAGATCCTGTTGGGAATGCGTTTAAGTGTTATGGTCATTGAGAGCTCATTCCCCTTTAGTCTGTGGCACCATGCACATCTTTCCCTGCTGTGCTTTAACATGGTGCATCAGTCAGTGGTGAGTTCAGCTCTCTGATTGCAGTTTGTTTAAACACAAAGTTATTCACAAAAAGGAGCTGTGTTGGGTCAGCTTAGTCCCAGAGCGGCCCCCTCTGTGGACCCCCTGAGGAGGGGGACAGCCCAGAGGACAACGTGTGTCTGGACTCCTCGACAACATTCCTTTTTTTCATTTTTGAAGAATCTTCTTTGACACACTCATAGCATAACAAAACTGTTCCAAACTGCATGGTGAGATAGAGCTGTAGAGGAGAGAGAGCATTAGACACATCACACAGGCCTCGGACCATTAGAGACGAATCAGATCACAGATATTGCATGTACATTGGAAATGCAGCTCAGTCTGATTACCCTTGGGCTTTTTAAAGTGGACCCATGATGCAACCAGCACCCCACATCCTGGTGGCCTTCTTACCCAAAAAAAGGAAAAAAAGTATTGTAACTTGGTGTTGATGCGTTGTGGTGATCAGCATGGCTCTCTGTGGGCCCAGCTCCGTCTTCATGTGTATTCAGTGAAATGCCAAGGCTCCACTCAACCTAGTGATTGTGGAAGTGAGTGTGTTTGCTGTCGTAAAAACGCAGTGGGAACCATCTGTTGTTGCCAGCTCATGTCTGCACCTGTGGAACTTTGTGCACCAGACTGAGTAGAACTATTAGAAACTGTTGTCCAGTCCAGAGAATATGCTATTTTCTACTGTAGATGAATCCAGAGAATATTTCTGCTTTCAGAACCAGCCTGCTCTGTGTGCTTCTGTGTGCTTCTTAGCGAGTGTGTGTGTGTGTGTGTGTAGGAGGGCGGGGGGGGGTCCGGCCACAGCAGGCCAGGATGCTGGGTTTTGTAGGCAGACCTTTACTGCAGTATGTGGCTGTAACTGTGTTCACATTTGTCTTTCCTATGAAGAAAACAATTACAGGGTCCGCTGAATGTACCTGAATGTTTAAAAAAAACTACCAAAAGTGTGTATGTGTGTGTGTGTGTGTGTGTATATATATTTTACACACACATATAGGGACTTATTCTATTGATGGAACAGATAGATATACAGAACAAAAGCTATATAGATCTATATTTCCATACAGTCAGTAGTGAATCAGCTGCTTTTGTGTTGCAGTGGAGGTGATGCAGATTTTATTGTGACAGAAGCCATGCAGAGCTGTACTTACTAACACAAATGCAGGGGGGGCCGACGCAGTCTTGTGCTGTGCACGGCTCAGCTACAGAACACTTTACTGTCCTCTGAATGCCACGTTTCAGTGTTCAGCAGTGAAGGGTTTACTCAGGTCCTCAACACAAACCAGGAAGTCACAAAGTGGGGGGGCAGTTTCCTCAGCTATATTAGAAACATGTCAGTCAGCACAACTCTGAACGTGAAAACCTCACATAAGGTCTTACCATATGTTTGGCTCCTGTAAAATGTTGATTGTTTCCCCTAACGAGACTGAACATGTCTGTACTTGTGTTCATCTGTGTACCCAAGAACCTGATGTGAGAATAAAGTGATGCTTGTGGAGCCCATCGTGATGGAGTCCTGCAGTTCAACACTGTCCAGCGCTTTTTCTGTGAGTACACCAACAGAGGATTAAAGAAATCCTGGTGGGCTTTAAGACCATTAAGAAATGACAATAAGTTCTTTCATTTGGAGAAGGGTTCCCCACATTTGCCTCACTTTTAGATGACAGTATTGAGTCTGGAGAGTAGAATACATGTACTTGGCTGTGACCCCATCGTGTCCTGACCTACCTGCCTGCTCTTCCTGCTCTGAGGATCAGGAGGACCTCCCCTCCCTGCTGGTCTACTCCATGCCATAAAAGACCAGTGAACGCTTCTCAGCCTGTCAGCTGGGTGGGAGCAGGCTGCCAGTCCATCAGCAGGCCGCACAGAGACCAACCAGACCATAGCACTGACCCCTGTAGTCCGTTTAAGAATCAGCTATGGATCTGACATACCTGGCAGAGCCCACACTGAGGGAACCGGCGGGGGCTCCGGGGGGGTCCCGTGAACAAAGCTTCTCTTTTGAATAGGAACACATCTCTGCATAAGGTGGGATCATTGGAGAGGTTTTACAGTTGAGCTGTGTGAGTCTAAAATAACTCGACATCTTCTGGGTTTCCCACCCTGCAGTCTCTATTCTCCTGAGTTCAGCTGTGCTTCAGCTAATGAGAAGCTCAACTGGAGAGGTGACATCAAACCGACGGGATCTCTTGCGGATGGGTCTCAGGAGCATAATGAGGGGCTGCTGCTAGCTTTCTAAACAAAAAACTAATCGGAAGCTCTCCCGGTCAGAAGGCCGTCAGAGGACAGTTGATTTCTAACTGTGGGTCAGAGGAAGAGCCTTCACACACCCACACACACCAGTAGCTTTGGGTTTGTATTGGATCAGGACAGAAAGGTGGGGGAGGACTAAGTGATGTAGTCACACAGCTCCATATCCCCTTAGATCAGGTAGGATCTGATCTCCTCTCAAATGAAGCTGAGTGTGCGTCTTAGTCATTTCTAACAGGAGCCGGGGTGCATGCAGACCGGCTGCAGGCCCCGGGCGTGTGCAGCGGCGCTGTGTGTGTGGTTGTGTGTGTGGTTGTGTGTGCGGTTGTGTGTGTGGTTGTGTGTGTGGTTGTGTGTGTGGTTGTGTGTGTGGTTGTGTGTGTGGTTGTGTGTGCGGGGGGGCCAGCTCTGGCCTCACTGCTGATGCCTCTGCAGCCACACCAGCCTGGCAGGGGTCAAAGGTCGCCTCCGCTGTGACTCCTGCTCAAATAAACGGCTCTCCCTCCAACACAAAACATTCTCAGTTTGGTTTCAACTTCCTCCAGCTTTCCGCGGCAGTCAGAGGCGGGAGCTGGCTCATGGCGGCGGCGGGCCCACTCGTGCCGCCGTCCCGGCTCTGAGACGCCGCAGATTAAAAGAGAGCGCTGTACGCTGATGCATATTTCCTTTTAATCAGAACTAATGTGTAGCACAGCCTTCACAGTGCACTCCCACCTCCCCGGGGCTCTCAGGGGGACCGGGTAGATCAAAGTCCCCCCCTCCACACGCGCCCTGCTCCTACATGATCAGTGGAAAGCAGAAGATCTGGGGACTGCTCTCCTTTTTGTTCTTCCTGTGGCTTTGAGCTAGACTCCTTAAACACTTCCACAATCCAGAAGTGTGTCGATACCACAGCAGTATGGTGAAAGCTGCTGGCTTTTCCTCTGAGCCTGCTGTGGGGGGGCGAGTGGGGCGGTACACGCAGGGACACCAGAATAACAAAGCTGCCGGCACTGGGAGCAGATTTATGGGACAGTAAAAATGTGACCCACACTGCCCACAGATGTTCTTCAGAACATCTTAGGTGGGGTGTAACCTGAGCAGCATGCTGCCCCCCCGCGCCTGGCTACGCTAACATCTGTGACGCCTCCGTCAGCACAGCCCCGGCACATGTCCTCGTGCACATTCATCACAGTCATTCTGTGATTTCATCAAAGATGAATCAACTCTCCTGGATGTCAGGACTTACGTGGACAAATTGGCTGCCCTGCTTGTGGACCTGAGCGCGGCCCGCCCCCCCCCGGCTGCCTCTGGCTCTCAGGTTTCAAAGCGCTCCGTCTCTCCTCGCCTGCCCAGATTAGTCCTCTAATGAGCAGCAGGGCTGATCAGGTGAATAATTGATGGTGTGTGGCTGGAGACAGACATTGATCCAAGCTGGGCTGTGGCTCTAAATAGAGGAGGGTGGAGGACACCCCAGGAGGATGAGCAGGCATGGCTACGTGACTGCAACACTCTGGGCTCAGTGTTTCCACAAAGCCCTTTCTGTAGAACTGATCATCAGGACCAACGTGCTTTAATGAGTACTGAGCAGCCTGTACTCTCCCGTTGTCTCTTAAACGTGTGGAAAAACCAAATCAGAAATATGCTTTTCGTTTTTCTGCCCGAGCTGGAGCAGAGCATTATGAGCATCACAGCTCCATGCTCCAGACTCTACAGAGCTTTCTGGTTACGGTCCCAGCTCTACAGGTGGCGCTCTCAGCTACCTGCTGAACAATGTCCTCTCACAGGAGGCTGACAGGGGTCCTTTTGTCCAGCTGCTGGTTGTGGACTACAGCGTGGCATCTAACAACCCCCCCGCACTGGCTGCTAAGTGGGAGCACCTGAGACTTTGGCTGACAGAAGACCAGCAGTGCTGGCAGGAGCTCCCCCGCTGCCCCTGCCACACGGCGCCCACGTGGTGGCCCCCGGGGGGGCCCTGAGAGGGGTCCTGAGAGGGGTCCTGACTCCTAAAGGACTGGTGTTGGGCAACAGCTACGAGACAAACAAGCTGGCGGGGAGCTGGAGCCCCCCCACCTGCAGTGGTGGGTCTCAGAGCAGGCTCTTCAGCGTCTGTCCTGCGGGGGGGACTTCACCTGGTCCAGCCACAGCATCCAGGCTCCGGCGGAGCCCCCCAGGCAGCCTGCAGTCCATTTGCTGCTCAGGGGCCAAAAGGAGAGGCAAGCATGTACAAGTAAAAAGGAGAGTGAGAAGTGTCTCTTCATTTTTTTTTGTGACTTTTTCCCTGTATCAGAGGTAATGGAATCAAGGCATCTCAAACCCGGTTGGACCATGTAGGACTGCATGTGATGAACTTTGGTGTTTTATTTGATTTGACAGTTTTGTGGTTCCAGAAAAGCTCAACATTGAAAGCTGTAGTCATTCTGCACCTCTCCCATTCCTGTGGAAGAAGACAACCTCAATCAGACCAACGCTGCACACGAGGTCAGTGTGGTCACTCGGCCCTAATGCCGGACTCCTGACCCCCACA